GTCTTTCATGTTACGTGATTAAAAAAACAGTGACAGCACAATTGTAAATGGAAACAGTTAAATGAAGAATTTTAAATATTTAACCTCAAATGGAAAGCTGCAGTGCGTTAAGATAATACACATGTATATATAGAGTATGTATACATTTCTGTCCTATGAACATTTTTTTTTGTGCCTGTTTTGACTGCTAAAAATGCCCTGAGGCTAGCACCCTCACTACAGTGGGTGCAGCTCGCAGACAGTTCGGCACACACACCCTAATTAAAATTGCGCACGTGCACATTTCTTCACACCAGGGTTAGACCTGCACATTTGACAGCGAAGGATTTTTGCAACATCAGCAGCAAAAAAAACAAAAAAAAACTCGTCTAGCTTGAAGTCTGACTGTTTCGTTTCTGTGCAGAACCAAAAGAACAAAGCGAGGCCTGAGGAAGTAAAGCACCACTCCTCAAACTTCCAACAGCACTGGATCGGCCCCAAAACCCCACCCAGACCCTTTTACAGCCCAGGCTCTGCTTCAAGCCACACCCAGAGGCTTCGACAGCCCCGGACCTCCAGACCCTCCCTCTGCACCAAACACGCCCTGTCCCACCCTTTTCTCACAGCCTTTGATTTACACTAGCGTATGTGTGTAAAAGTGTCAATAAAGTCTGATTAAAAATGTTCCTGTTTGTGTCGACAACATGAAAGAAGACAGGAGACATCTGCACGCACACATGCACATTTACAATCGGCTAAAAAATAAAACCACTGACACACGGGTTCTGACAAGACCACACACACGCGTGGGCGCGCACACACTCATCAACACCATTTTGTTACATGTGCTCACACCTTATTGCCTGGTTTTATTCAGACTGTGAATAAACGGAGTTATTAATAGAGGAAACTGGGAAGTGAATTATGACAACTCACTAGCTAGCTAGCTAGCTCGATAGATAGAAAAATAGATAGCTACATAGATAGAAAGATTATGGTAGCTAAGGCAGTAAAAATCATAGCAACACCATTGGCAGCCTGGTGGGGGCAGAAAAAAACATTAATCCACTTTAGCTTTTTTTTTTATTTACAATTCCTAACATTTGAGCTACTTGTAACTTGTCATGTATAATGTAAGCTCTCCTACTTCTGTAGGAGAAAAACGAAGTGACACCAGAGTTGAATTTTTTTGTTTTGTTTTTTTTTTGCATGTTTTATTAGTTTCCGCTTAAAGAGCACAGGGAGAGTCGTACAATTATACATGGTATATATGTTTCTTCGAAAAAATACTGACTTCAGATTTTTTTTTTCTTTCATAAACGAGGAGCAAAACCAGGAAACAGAACTAAGTTTGACTTCAGTAAGACATGTTATCATTAGTGTAATGAGCATGTGTCGTCGGATAAGTGTCGTCGGTAACTGCAGCAGTAAAAGTGGGCAGGGCCCTGTCATTAACCGTCAACTGTTAATATACATGGTTTAAAAAAGACCAATTATTTCAAATATTTATGAAAAGAATTGACATGTCGTAGGATTTGGTTTATTGTGTGATAAAGCTGACATTTACGAGGATCATTTGCAGAATTTAATGACATCCTGTGATGAAGTGTATAAGTGCAACCCAAGGAAACAAAAATCAAAAAAGACGGCTGATTGATGAAAAGGTGAAAAAAAACGATGATGAAATTAAACTGAAATAATAAAAACAATTTATTTCTCCCGCTCCGCCCCTAAATTCTTAATTTAAAAATGTCGCCTGTTATTATTTTTCTATTTCTTCTTTGTCCCCAGTAAGAAACAAGCTAGCTGGTTTTGCCATTTCGTAATGTCACATGATAGCTGCCAAATGCCTTATATGGGCAATAAACTAGCAAGGTCGCTATTGGCTTATATCTGTTACATTCTAGATGGCTTAGCAATTTGCTAATTTTAGCCACATGCCACCCTCTGTTGCAGACCCTTTATTTTAGCCACAGTTTGTTTTTGACCGTAATATTAATCATTTTTATTCACAAGCAAATTACTAAGAATAACAATCTTACCCAGGAAAACAAAATAAATGAAGTTTTCTCCCAACAAAGCAAAACTCAATGTACTACAATATGATGGAAAGTAATATACAAGTCATGCTGCCAGGTTTTTGTCCAAATAATAGTGTTAATATACTTTACAAACAATAATTGGTTTGACAAATTCTGTTATATCATGTTATAATAAAAATATAAAATATTTTATATAATAATACAACAACAACAGGAAACCGAGACTTGTCCTGGTTCTAAGCTAATGTTATGTGTTAAGGCGCTGCTAGCGAAACTTCTATACAACTCTCAGCAATAAAGAAAGACTGTTACTCCCAAAATGTGCTTATTATTTTTTATAATAAGCAAATTAGTTTATATGAAGAAACAATAAAAATGTTTAAATGAAGATAAAGAAACATGGTTTGTCTTTATAAACCTGGTTTGCATGTTAGATGTGTTAAAACTACAGCCTGCAATGGAATTAATAGATTGCAATGATTACTGCGCAAACATGTCAGCGCTTTTATTAATGCTAAGGGGCGGCTAGTGAAGCAGTTTCCAGCATTGGACAGGAGCTAGCTGCTGTGAATAGTCTCAGGTTATGCACATGCTAGCTGCCTTTGCTCTCGCCTAATCGTACTACATATATATTTGTTGGTGTTGCTCATTTAAATCAGTAAATTGTGAACTAAGTGAATGCTAGTTGCAATTTACTGACGTTAGCCTGCTGCTAGCAGGCATGGCAGTCCACATTAGCCACCCACTAACATGTGTTGCATAACAGAAATTCCATTATGACTTCATTCAAACATTGTTGACCCAGGTTAACCAACGTCATGTAACAGATTTTACTTTGTTACATAAAAACTAAATATTTTTTGGTCAGGACACGTAATGCTAATTGAAACAGATGAGCGACAAATTACAGACCCCAGCTTTGAGAAAGCCATACAAAATATATATATTTAAGGACATGCTATGCTATGGAGCTGTGTAACTTTCCCCAAAACACTGTTTGTCTGGATGATGACATCACAACCAACACAAACACACACTTCCCGTTTCTCTTCTCTCGTCTCATGTTCATTCGTACAATCATTTCCTCAGTCGACAGAGACGCTAGTTCCTCTGCGATGAACAAGCTACTGATGCTAACTTAGGTTGCACGAGCTGCACAACAAAAACACACACACACACACACACTTGAACGCACATATTTCACCTCCTGATCACACACACACACACACATATACTTGAACGCACAAATTTCACCTCCTGAATCCAAACTTTACAACCTCCTCATAAACATTAGAACATTAAATACGGGTGGATCTACGGTCAGAGCTCAGATGCGCCGTATGTACAAACATACACGGGACGAGGCCGTGAATGCAGACGTGTCTCTCCTCACTCACAGGGCGTGGCCGCCGAGGCCGTGAATGCAGACGTGTCTCTCCACACTCACAGGGCGTGGCCGCTGCGGCGGCGGCGGCAGCAGCATGCGCGGCGGCGGCGGCGGCGGCAGCAGCATCGCTGTTCAAACATGCACTTTTCCGTCTGCACGTTCACACATGAACAGGAGTCAACGCAGAACTCTTCTAAATCTCTTTCACACACACACACACACACACACACACATTTCCACCCGCGCGCCGCTGCACCTAAACCATACCTCTGGGACGTATGGAACGGCGGCCCCTCGACTGTGGGAAGCTCAGTCGATGATCTGTGCAGACCGGTGCACAGAGGTGGTGTTGTTGTTGATGAAGAGCGATTTGGCCAAACCCATCTGTGGGCCAGAAGAAGAAGAGGGTCATGAAACGGCATTTAGTTTGACAGCAGGTTTTTTTTTGGGTTGATGAACTGCTGACCTTTGACATGACGAATTATGAAGTTAGCCCAAAATGACAGAAGAGCTGCTGGTTGAACGCTGCGTTCTGTAGTGCGTTTATTGCAAAAAAAAAAACTAATTGTATAATCCTCCTGCTGGAGGCGGTGCTGAGTCAGCAGTGCCCGTCAGCTGAAATGTTTCTATATGAACTTTGGGTGTGGCAGTCTTTCCTTTTTTTGTAGTGCACATTTCAAAGATCTAGACAAATGTCTGCCCAACTTTCCCTTATACACGATTTTTATCAGAGTTTCTTTTGATCCGCAGAGATTCCGTAAAGGTGACTCATCCGAGGCTCCGCCCCTGACTCTCACTCTCACTCTTCGCCCTGTCACTATCTCACGTCTTTTTCCTCCGCTTTTAGACTCACAGCTATGAGAACCAGTCGTTCAGGACTTGTCATTTTTCGTCTGTCCATCAACCACGAGGGTGGGCGGGAGGCGGCAGCAGCAGCAGCAGCAGCAGAGAAAGTGAGTTGGAGCCAAGTTCAGGAGAAAAAAAAAAAAAAAAAAACCACCCACCAGCCTCCACCTTCTGCTGCTGCAACAGTCATAAACCCTTCCTGGGTTTCTCAGCCTCAGAGAATTTCAGACACACGTGTAACATTTGTACCTTTTTCAAAACAACTTGGAAGTTCTTCTCGTTCCACAAGCTGTAGAGCAGCAGAGACGCGGCTTTGCTTCCTTTGGGGAAAGACCTTCAAAAGACAAACAAGGACACAGGACAGGATTGAAGACGAGGTTAATGTTGCAAAAATACATACTGTGAATAAAAGGACGATGCGCATTTGATGACATGTCCAAACCCTAAGCTCCAATCAAATGTGTTGTTAAATAATCATCGGTCGCATACGTACGGTCTAAGCCTGGATGATGTACGTTCTAAGCCTTTTATAACCTTTCAAAGGAAATGTTGAACCACAGCGAGAGTTGGATTTATTCATTCCTTTGTATCTCTTGTGTGTTTGGACAAGATCCTAACATCACAAACATCACCCGGGATTACAAACTCCGCATATGAGACGATTTAAAGACAACAGTGACTGTGACAGAACTGACGGCGACGCTTGATGCGCAAAAGTTGGAAAGAGCGGTAACTTGAAAGCCTTTGGAAGAAACCTTTGATCCCAGTCCAAGGGGAGGATGTGATCTCTAATTAACATACATGACGTTATCCAATAAAGTACAAACGAAGCACAGGAAACGGTGACTAGCATTTTCATGCAGTGTATGCATGTTTAGCATTGTGGAGGCATGTCATACGTAAATGCCCTTAGTGGATTACAAATTGGGAGCCTATACTTTCTGTAGGTGTTGGTAGTGTCAACACGATAGTGCACAGTGTGGAGGTTTACCGTCTTTACAGGACACAAAGCGGCGTCTATTGAAGACATTTTATTTTTCGATCGCCAAAGAAATCAAAGGTTTGACGCAGCTGGTACGAATTTGTGCATTTCATACAGAGGTAAATAAAACAAACTTGGGCTGCACGCGGCGTCTATTGAAGACATTTTATTTTCGATCGCCAAAGAAATCAAAAAAAAAAAAATCGCAATTTTTTTTTTAAATCAATATTGAAACCACGATAATTAATCACGATTCATTCATTACGTTGGCTGAAACGTATTTTATCGCACCTTCTATATTAAACAAACAGTATGTAAACAGCTCAAAATACAACTTAAAATTCAAATAATAATGAATGAATAATAAAATGTAATCATTCAAAGACATCATGGCTAATGAAAAAATACATTTGACATTTACTTTTCACTTGGAGGATAGATTTGAGGTCAGGCTAGATGTTTCTGAAGCCCTCGCTGCTCACTGTATTTATTGGGCGCGTCGTAAAATGCTAGTGCGAGTGTCACCTGGTGCAGGTTCGCCATTACGGACATCTTGGCTTACGGGTTAGCATTAGCTTAAGCCTTCGTGAAGTCATCGTATTTGACTTTGTGGTGTTCTGTCAGGTCTGTGGTGCAGACACGCTGTGTATATCATCATTATTATTTTTTTGGTCAGCATCGCTCGATCTGAATCCAAAAAAATCCCTTACGAGGTACTAGCTTCTCCTCAGCCCCAAATTCTGCGATACCGCCACCTTCTGCTCCCGACATTACTCACCCATTCTCACTGAGGTCTGCCAGAGCTGTCACCAGGTTGGTCGTGATTAGCTTTTTGCTGCTCTCAGTGTCAGCTGTCATCAAAGCGCGAGCTGTGTTACATCCTGCTGCCACAGTTTCATCACATTTTCCCATTTCACGAGGACCAGAGGATAAGAGGGTGCACAGCTCCGGGAGGACCTGCTTCGCTAAAGGTTGAATGTGGACGTTAGTGAAATTCACCTTCAGGAAAAAAATAAGAAAAGAGCTTGAATAAAAACGGGCTCAACTTACAGATGGACGGCTGAAGGCTGGACAGCCGAGACATGTTGTTCAACAGGGACATGGCTGTCTTCTGCAGGGTACTGTTGGGAGACTTTATTAGAGGGGAGATGTGTAGCAAAGCGCCCAGCTTCTGGACCAGAATCTGACTCATGGCCATGGAACCCTGAGTTACAGGGACAGACAGGAGACACAAGGGAATGGACAAGAAAACCCATCAGATCATCAGAAACCCAGAGATTCCTTCTCCATTTTTCCTACTTTTAATGACCATATAATATAATAGCATCTCTGTGACAGACTAAGTCCATCAGACTGTGAATGTGGACGTTAGTGAAATTCACCTTCAGGAAAAAAATAAGAAAAGAGCTTGAATAAAAACGGGCTCAACTTACAGATGGACGGCTGAAGGCTGGACAGCCGAGACATGTTGTTCAACAGGGACATGGCTGTCTTCTGCAGGGTACTGTTGGGAGACTTTATTAGAGGGGAGATGTGTAGCAAAGCGCCCAGCTTCTGGACCAGAATCTGACTCATGGCCATGGAACCCTGAGTTACAGGGACAGACAGGAGACACAAGGGAATGGACAAGAAAATCCATCAGATCATGAAACCCAGAGATGCCTTCTCCATGTTTCCTACTTTTAATGAGCATATGATATAATAGCATCTCTGTGACAAACTAAGTCCATCAGACTGTGAGGAGGAATAAACCTGGAGTGTTCATTAATAAACAAGAAGACGGAGAGACAGATAAGTGGATGGATGGATGATAGATGGATGGATGGATGGATGGATGGATAGATGGATGGATAGATGGATGATGGATAGATGGATGGATGGATAGATGGGAGATGGGAGATGGATAGATGGATGGTTGGATGGATGGATGGATGATGGATAGATGGATGGATGGATGGATAGATGGATGGATGGATGGATAGATGGATGGATGGATGGATAGATGGATGGATGGATGGATAGATGGATGGATAGATGGATGGATAGATGGATGGATGGATGGATGGATAGATGGATGGATAGATGGATGGATGGATATATAGATAGATGGATGGGTGGATGGATAATAGGGATGTCTGATAATATCAGTTGGCCGATATTATTATATTTAGCGGTAAGAATCATTATTCTATATCACCCAGAAGATGTGACCTGAATATAGTGAAACTATCATTTGTATTGTCCACAGTATTGTCATTGTGACACAGCACACCACTGAGCACAATGAAATGTGTCCTCTGCCTTTAACCCAAACGGCTGTATACATCGGTATCGGTTGATATCGGAAACGGAAAATATGGCAAGGGTTTGGACAATATCGGCAAATAAAAGCTAATATCGGACCTCCCTGACCAGTAATTATTTGAATATAAAACGTCCCTGCCGTCAGTAAACACCTCTGACCATGATGCACACAAACAGACTAAACTGACGACTCCACTCACCAGCCCCTTGCTGGCAGTCAGGTTCTGCAGCGCGCCGCAGCACGCCTCCAGCGTGCCATCTTTCTGGGACGAGCCCAACAGGGACAGATAGGTCTGCATGGCTCTGGGATGGCACAGCCACCGTTCACCTGAGGGGGCGCTGTCCTCAGGTAGTGGGTGATTCACGTCGAAGGAAAACTAGTGACATAAAAAAAAAAAAAAAAGGAAATGAAGGAGGGTCTTCGGGGGAGGAGGATTTACAGAGTTGTGAGGTTTGTACCTGTTTCTGAGCTTTGCTGCTTTTGGGGCTGAAGCAGCCAATCGGTGAGCCCTTCTTACTTTGTGGCTGGACCTCCGTCTGGGGATAGTACTTGTTGAAGGACTGAGGGGATTCAGACTCCAGCTGAAAGGTCAGATTGTGGAGGATGCAGGCACAGTTCTCCACAGACTGGAGAAGAAAAAGTAAAGAGTTTTTTTTTTTTTTTTAAATTCAAAAACTTTGTGATCCACGTTTTTAATGTTTTTAAAGTTAATCTCCACAGACTGGAGAAGAAAAAGTAAACTTTAAAATGTTTTAAGTTAATAAAAAAATAGTAGAGACACGTGACAAATTACATGTGAAGTGCATTTTGGGAAATGGGATTTTTTTTTTTTTTCATCGTTTCGCTCTAATCAGTAAAACGACGCCTCCACATGTGGCGCTTTTCCATAACGACGGCATTTGTTTGTTAAACATCAGCAGCTTTGAGCAAACAGCGAACACACGTCACGCCCTGCATTTACACAAATGAGCAGGTGTCCATGAAAACAACACACGCCGTCAGTGAACAGACACTGTCATTGTGGTTCGGCGAGTGCGGACGTGTGCTCGACATCACAAGCTCATTTTCCCACGTGCTTCAATACAAAATGATCTCATAAACCAGACTAGTTTTCTGTTATTTTTATATAATGTTCCATTAATATCTCAGTTCCTAAAATATAGATTCTTCTGTTTTTAAAGACATTTTCATCAGTTTACTTTACTTTACACAGACGACCCAGAAGAAACAGAAACTTGCTACAGCTAGCACCAGCGCAGAGACACTTGGACGACTGAGCTCAGTCCTGGACCTTAGTTGTTAAAAAGACAGTAACCAGAGTCCTGAAGTCTGCTGAGGACAACCTGGAGGAGGCGGACATCTGGTCTGACGGCACTAAACTACAGCTGTTTGAACTAATAACAGATATTATCTACATTTGGAGATGGAAGGGAGACAAATACGAGTCTTTAGCAGCGGTTCCCAACCTTTTTTGGGCTAATGATCCTATTTTGACCCCCCAGAGAGATTCGTTGCGGCGGCTCGTACGTTTTTATATGCTGCGTTTTATTCCGACTTGATTTACATTCCTAGTCTAAAGGTTCATTGGCGAGCTGTTACCTTGTCGTCGGGGTTTTCTTCGGCGACGCAGGACTCGATGTAACTCATGAGAGAATCGATGAGACCTCGACATTCCCTCATCACATGCCTCTCCCTCTGCTGTCCGGAGCTCAGGTTCCTGCAGGACCAAACGCAGTTCAGGATCCGATAACGGCAACGACAACAACGACAACAACAATAATAATAATGATGATGATGATGGTAATAATAATAATAACAATAATAATAATAATAATGATGATGATGGTAATAATAATAATAACAATAATAATAATAATAATGATGATGATGATGATGATGATAATAATAATAATAATTGTTATTATTATTATGATTATTATTATATTGGCATGTAATCCAATTATAACATAACATTGGTAAATTTAATAATGGCAACTTTCAAAACACACAGAAATGCTGTAGATGTGATACTTTCAATAACAACAACAACAACAATAATAACAACAATTGTAATAATAATAATACTAAAAACAATAGTAATAGTACTACTACTAATAATAATAATAATAACAGTAACAATTTTGTTCTTATCAATATTATTATTATTATTATTATTATTATTATTATTATTATTATTAGTATATTAACATTGAATTCAATTATAATATAAAATTGGCTTATTATTATTATTATTGTTATTAGTATATTGGTACTGAATTCGATTATAATATAAAATTGGTACATTTCATAATTTAAATGTAATCACTTTCAAAACACACAAGAAGGCTGTAGATGTGATCACTTTTGTGAATCAATCGTAATCGATGATTTTTGGTTTGTTGGGGGTGAGCCATCACCGACGGTGTTGACAGTGTTAGCCGGGTGTCCTCACCTCAGACAGCCTGTAGCGTTGAAGAATACATCAGGGTGGATGTTGTTGTTAGCGCTGTTGTCGGACCAACAGGTGAACGGAACCACCACGTTCTCGGTCAAAGCCGGCAGAGCTGTCGCCGTCAGTTCCCCCTTGAGCTCGTCAGCTGACGACAGGTTCCACAGCAGGCCTGGTTAAACACAGACGAGGAATTGACGTTATTTAAACCTGTGGACGCGTTCCAATAAAACGCACGCAGGGCCAGGCTTCCCCCTCAGGCTGAATCTGTTTCCAAGAAGAATCATCTCCACAATCACCGCTTCAGCACAGATACAACTTTTAACGTCGCCTCCTGTCATGCGGATCTTAAAGCTTCTTTATGTTGTTACGCAACAGAATTTATTCCCTTGGCTCCGACATATCTGTTGGTTTTGTGTTGTGTAATCATGTTTTGCAGTTGTTGATGCGCTCACAGAGGTGTGTTGCTGTGGATCGTGGGAGGCTGGCGACATGGACACATATCTTACCGAGAGTTTTCTGTCTCCGAACACTGGAGTTTGTGGCAACATTTCCATGCATGTAAATCCGTACGGTGAAAGAGCTGCTGCGATGTCGTTCAATCCAACTTTTTTCTCCATGTCTGGTCACGTGTGTTCAGTTCAAACACACGTGAACAGACATGGAGAGAGAGAGAGTTTTGTTTTCCTTTACAGTGTACTCAGTTATGGTGAACATAAAGCTGAGCTTGTGTTCGTTTCTGTGTGTAACCCGAGCATCTTCTTCTTTGTTGTGGAAACAGACTGGAGTGCATGTTACATCATGTTACATGTTAACGCACGGGAGTTCCTCCCTGTGAAAAAACATTCCTTATTCATAGAGGTGACTCCACCTGCTGAACGGAATTGTTTTAATAAAAAAAAAAGAAGCAAAAAGAAAACTCATGTGTATGGGTTCATACGGACGATGACTGTCAGGAAGAGTCATTGCTGCTGATAATGAAGCAACAAATAAGAGTTCTGCAGTCTGAGTAAAATCCCTTGATTGGATGAGTGTGTTTGGTTTCAGCTTCAATCGATGATGTCACACAGACGAGGGCGGAACAGCTGGAGATTGTTTGAACGCGCTCCACCGCATTTATGACACGCAACAAAGCTAAAGTAACTTTGATGGCCATGTATACTTTACATAAACTCCCCATTGACTAAGCATCAGACTGTGGACTGAAAACAGGGGTGTCCGCACTTTTTTGGCATGCGAGCTACTATTCAAATGTATATGTTCCTCAAATAAAGTATGATTAAATCCTTACAATACATGCTCACTACTAGAATGTTATTTTTATTTTTTTTATTTGAAATTCCTTATGAGCTACCAGCGTTTACTCTGCCATCTACTGGTAGAACCCGATCTACTTATTGGGCTTCCCTGAATTCAAATCTAAAAATAAGTTCATTACTTTTGGTTTTCTTTTTTGATATGACATGAAAACGGACCTATGTGACTGTCACACGCAACAGAAACTACTTGGCGTAAAAAACAAAAAAAAAATTAACATCAAGCAAAATATGAATATTGTTTACACATAAAATGTAGGATATGCCTCTGAATAAAGCTGCGTCTATGTTGGTCGTACGGGGGTATAGGTGGTTCAACATCTTGGACATCCTACCTGTGATCTGTTTTTGGGTCTCAGTGGAGTCCGTGTCCTTTAAGAGCTGTAAGGCCTTGGCGATTCCTCCACAGTGCTGGACCTCCAGCTTGTTGTTGTGATCTTTGAAGACCAGGTTCCTCAGGGCACCAGCAGAAGCCTGGCTGACGGCGGGGTTGGTGCGGCACAGCAGGCTGACCAGCAGGGGGATCCCACCCAGCTGATAGACCTGTGCCAATAAAAACAAGAAGGGGCGGGTTAATGTGACAGCACCGTAAATCACAGCACATGACGATGATCAGCAGAACATCCATCACCGGAGGCCAGTGTCACATAAGGCGTGGTTATAACATGAAACCTTTTTTGTGACACGCTAGTGTTAGGTAAACTGTTTATTTAGGTATGCTGTTTTATTCTTGACTCCCGCTGGTTCGGAAAATGTAGAATTGGCGCAAAAAGACAACTGATAAAAGCTACAGTTGGAATCGTGTGCACTGTTGACGTCCACATACAGTAGTGACACCAAGCTAACTAACGGGGTCACAGTAAAGTGTGTCACATCAGGCTTACTGGGTTGCATTAAAGCACACTGTTCTAAGTTAGCATCATAAAACACACTCTGCTAATAAAGCAAAGCTAAGTTTTCTTCTGCTAGCCTTTGCTAAAGTATATGTGCTACCCAAGGTCAGCTAAGCTACATTAAGCTAACTGAATCTCACAAAATTAAAAATGGCAGCGACGTCTCTATAAATCTCTTTAAATAACTGAATCTCACAAAATTAAAAATGGCTAAAATCTCTTTACATTTTTTTTACTACCTTCATATTAAACTGAAACAAGTATAAAACCACAAACATGAGTTAGGTCGTATGAAAATGAGCGTTTTCTCAACCGTCACCTCGTGTTTAGCTCGCTCCTCCTTGTATGTGGTGTGCTGGATGAAAGAGGCGCCACACTGTTGGAAGTTCTCCTCAGGAAGGGATAAGAATTCCACGGCCTCTTTCAGAGTCAGATCTGACAGATTTATCCCAGTATTTACTCTGGAATAGACAGAAATCCCACATTGAGTACCTCTGATTCGTTGAAAGAAGACTGCTGACTGAGTGATAAACTCACGCAGACTGCTGCAGGTCTGTCTTGGAGATCTTCATGGTGCCCATCTTGCCATCGATGTTGGACTGGCTAGATGTGGGCTGGGTAATGCGGGTCTGGCTATTGGTCATGTAGTTGCCGTTGACGGAGTAAATGCTATGTCGATTGCTCTGAGTTTGGACGTTGTAGTGGTTCTGGGCAGTCTGAACTTTGTTTTTCTGAAGAAATCGGTGGGAAAAAAAAAAAGTTGGTTTTCAGAGATATGTTTGAGAAGGTCAACAATGGTGGGAGTTCAGTAGATAAGAAGACTCATGTACCATGTTTACTGAAGATCCAGGGACGGCGTAGAACCTGTGAGCCAGGGCCGGGTCACTGCGGCTGGGTTTCAGAGTACCTAGACCTGTGGCCCAATTAGAATATTTGCTGTGCTGTTCCCATGCTCCTGAAGTGCTCTGATGTCTTCCTCCCATGGACTTGGTGGACTGAGTGCGGTTTCTCTGGGTATTGGCCTAAAAAGGAAATAAGAATATTTGTGAAATGAGCTTAACTCAAAACAATAGTTTGAAGTTTTTTTTGTGAAGACCAAAGTGTGTCCTTGGTTTTGGTGATAAACACTGATTTATTGTTATAGATCTGAAGGCTGTTGTGGAAACCTGTCTGAACAGAAAACCAGAGTCTGTTTTCTGTGAGGACAGGTCTTGAATATCAGGTCACAGACCAGTCACTGAAAGGAATTTGACCAAAAACATGTTGAAGAATGTTGTATTCTCTGAGAAACCATCGTCTGGCAGAAGGTGGTGGGACTAGCTATGATAAGCTATGATTAGGGATACGGTAAACAGCGTTGAGATGTGGTGGAATAATGGATAGAGGACATGTTGGGAATTAGTACAACTCAACCAAAAACATGTTGAAGAATGTTGTATTCTCTGAGAAACCATCGTCTGGCAGAAGGTGGTGGGACTAGCTATGATTAGGGATACAGTAATACTTCTGCCTTTTCCCTGCAATACACACGTTTCCCCAATAGATGGCGTAGAAAATGATAAATGCATTTTAGCGTTTTAGCTTTTATGCATGACATTTACATTGTCATTTATCTTAGTTCACACGAACGCTCCATCTATCTGCTCCTGACCCGGCCCTCCCTGTTCAGTTTTAGGACAATTGTGGCCCGCGAGTCAAAAGTTTGCCCACACGTGGTCTAACTAGTAGAACGTAAGGGTGTCAATGTGAAAGTCAGAGCTATTCACTTATTAGTTTCATCCTGTTTTTAATGTGATTCTGAAGAAATATTTGGTTCCTTCTGAGAACCATGTGTTATGTTACAACAAATTCAATCTACAAAACCGACTGCTTCAAAACTTGATTAAAGTAACGTGTTAGGGCGGTGTGCAGTACTCCAAGTAGAACTGGTTTTCATCAGATGGCTATTTGTCAAGTTAAAGGCTCAAAGCAGTGACTGTCAACTGGTGGCCCGTGGGCCGAACCTGGACAGCTGAACCATCCAATCAAGCCCGCGACTGGATTCCAAAATTGTGAAGATCAAAATGAAAATTATGTGTGGTCCTCACAATAATTTAGGTATATATATATATGTTTAGGTACATAACTGATAACTGAGAACAATACTGTGCAACAAAGTCGCCAAGCAGGAAACCTGGCGTCACTGACTATCAACATCAACATCGCCTCTAAATTACACCTTCGTTTGATTGTAGTAAAAACTTTGGCCCAAACCTTACCACCAGACGCTCGACAACGGAAAAATGCTTTGGGCATTTGTGACGGATTGATGGTGAGGTATTTCACTATTGTACCGGGTTTGGCTTTGAAAGTGTAGGCTCTGAACGTTCTTCAGAAAAGGCCTAAAGCCTGAGGACAGAAAATGCTAGCTAGCTCCAGTCTGTTGACCAGTAGCACCTAGGTAAAAAAAAAGAAGCTCTTACTCCATTACATATATCATTGATATCATAACAAACAGTGCTCTATTAAAGGACAGTATTGTAATTTTTTTTTTTACATCTGCTTCTTTGAATATTTTCAGGCCAAAAAAAAAATTCAAAATGGCGGCACGCAAATAATGGCTTGAGAAATGGCAAGTAATAGGAGGGTTGGGTTTTGGGTGCAACATGTGTGGTTTAAATGTTTGGGTGTGTACTTCCAAAAAGGTCTTAAAATGCATTACTAGTAGAAGTGATTCATCGTTTCAGTTTTACAATTGGTTTAGTTGTTCCAAAATGTTAGAAGTGACAACATTTTGAACTTTTTTTGGCTGCGTTTGATTTTTTTTTTTTTAACAACTTTTGCTCCAATTTTGTGACATAAATTACAAAAAAAAAGATGATCAAAAGGGGGGGAATTTACAAATATCTCACTAATACACTAAGTTTCGGAATACCAGCAACACTGATTTATGTTTCTCCTCCATCTGGTAGAGATTTTGTACGATAAAGTTTAAACAGCGTCAAACTGAGAAGTTTTCAGCGAATGGCTCACTTTTCTACTTCATATTTACACACGTCATGGGCTACACCCATTTTGGCTTCGTTTTGGCTGCAAAATGAGATTCATGAAAAAAACAAACAAAATAAACATAGTTATGTTCAAACATACAACCATGTTCCGTTGCTTTCCTGACATGATACTATTATAAACTGTTACAAAAACAATTACATTTTCACCGGGAAAGTGGGTGACTCAAACTCAAAAAGACAAAGGACCTGCTGTTCCCGTATGCAAAAGTCATTCATCAGGTCTAATGATCAAAAACAACCGCACAGTGATGGAAAATCTATCGTTTTCTTTACCGAATGTGGAAGTGTAGATGTTATCTTGAACTTAACCCTGAGCTGATGTGAATTTTATCCCCAATGTCTTTGGTCTTTTGTTGTTTTTCTTTTTGCAACCCTGATGGTTTCCAGTGCAGTCAACTATGACTCCGTGTGAACAAAAAGGAAAAAATTATCTTTTTTTTTTTCCTTTGTTCCTGCATAAAATCCAGGTGGGTGATTCAAATCAGGAGAGAAAAGGCCACTTAAGGACACCAAAAACTAGGTCGTAAACAAGTCTAGATGTAATTAGCTCCGCAGAATTTTGATAGATTTAGATGACGTGACGAAGTACAGACAGTGACAGAAGGATGCCGATAATGAAAGTTCATCTACAAGAATCCATCATCAGGCTCCCTCGACATGTCTCGACGGCTTGTTAGAACACAGGGTCACACGGGTCAATATGATCACTATGTAGAATGTCCCAGTTTTTGTCTCTGACTCACCTAACAAGAAGAGAAACCAAACTCAAACACACGATGTTTTCACACTGACAGAGGAAAAAAAACCATGTCGTCCTGCACCGTAACCGAATGACTAATTAAATACCATGTCGTCCTGCACCGTAACCGAATTACTAATTAAATATTACGCAAACCAACAAACGAACAAACCATACTCAAACACAAATAGCGTAATACTCCTCAAGTACCTCAGCACTTTCGTCTGTCATGCACAATCATGATAATAACTATATTTATCACTGGTTCATACCAGCACATATGAAATCAGTAATAACCACTGACAAACAACAACAACAACAACAAGAATAATAAATAACATCATCATTGCAACCTATGCATAAAAAAAAATCAGCCATATAACAGAGAGTTTGACCATTTTCTTATTGCAACTATATTATTATGATTTGTGAGTTATAAAAATATATTTATATATACATATATAAATATATATGTATACATATATAACTTTTTTGCAACTGATAATTCATAATAATATAATTGCAATAAAAGAGTACAAGAGTAATTGGCTAAAGAAATTCAGGCGCCAACCTGCTCTTATATGGACATTTATTAATGCGAATTTCAAATAAAAAGTAGTCACCATAACACATTTTCTTTCGGATTTAATTCAGTGACACAAACTGACCACATAGGGCAGCAGCGTCTGTGCCTCCGTGAGCTGATCACTGATTTTCTCTCTAAATGAAATACTTTCACACTGAGGTAAGCAGATCATCAAACACCACAGGCCAGGTGCATCCACAACCACAGAACATCACAATGACACAATGAGTCGTGATTCAGAGCAGTGCTGTCAGACACATCTCTGACACTAACACGGATCCACTGATCCGTGGTGTGAATCAGTCATGACTAAGTCACCGCCATATTGTGCGAAAGTCCCTCTGATTTTACACCCAGTTTCAGGGGACAGCTCATTCCTGAGCTAATTGTCAATCAGACAGCAAAGATTTACTGGGAATTGTTTTTTTTTTTTTTTTTCTCAGGTCAGATCCTTTCACAAAAGTGATCATGTATTTTAGTAGCACAGTCATCCCTGAGTGGCGACGGGGCATTTTTCTTCTGTTTTGCGGCCAATCATTTTGCCTATGTGTTCTGTGGCAAAGACAATTAGACGAAGCTCACACTCTCAGGCTAAAGCTAATTTGTTGTTAGCTTGAAAGTACAGTAAATGCATTAAAAAAACTCAAAGTACATGTAACAGTAAATTAACCATGTGGGAGCAACCGTTAAGTCTTACTCTTTTTCCAGACTGTTCTGTTTCACGCTGTTGTGGAGCTATCGTCGAGCTACTTTAGCATCCTGCTGCTGGCTGCGGCAATTAGTTTTACAACTGACTTTTGTCAGTAATATCAGTTTAACGTCTGTGCTTAGTTATTTCATAATGACTTGTTATGAGAATACACTTTTCCATTGAAGAACATATAACCCAAAAATTGTGTTAGCTTCCAATTTATAGCTGTAGCAATGCATTTATTTACTTTCTACATGCAAATATTTGGAGAGAAAAAACGGCCGTTGCCTAATCTCGTCTCACTCATCAGCTTTTGACAAGAAACGGAAGCTAAATTCTCATATAAACATTTAGAAATTGTAAACAAAAATGGTTGCTAAGGTACATGGTGCTAATTCCTTACTTGGGAGTTGCCTTCTGAGAATTAAGGAAAATCCCTTGAAACTCTGTGGTAGAGTAAAGCTGTTAAAGGGAACTTCCAGCTTCTATTCATTCTTTTACTGTACAAACATCCTAATAATAATTCTAATAATCATCCTGATTATAAGAGGCATCTGAAGACAGAGGAGCTACCTGAAACCTACAACAGTATGGCAAAAAAGGAAATTTACCGTTTTGATGAAACTGGTCGACGAGCTGCGGTTGAAGGCGTTGCTGGCTTTACTCGGAGAAAATTTGAAGGATGTAAACTCATATGTCTGACCTATGGAGAGAAGAGTCATGTGACAGAGGGTGAATAACACTTCGAAAGGAAGCGTAACAAATTGAAATACTTTCTTAAAAAACAGAACCAGACTTGTTAGAATCAACCGTTACATAATTAACAAATCTTTGACCCCATTCCACAATGCTCATTAACTTCACAAATGTATACCCTAAAAAAAAAGAACCAGAACTGAATTGTTTGGCGTGGAAAGTGACAAAAAAGAAAGTCGACGTGCCAATGTGAACTGGTCTACCAGTCTTTGAAAACTCCAACGCCTTTGTCGTGTCTGGTTTCGACTGAGTGAGCACTGCACCCATCATCACAGACAGATGTGAGAACTGATTGAAAATTATACCAAAAGCTGAATATGATCTAAGCTTAGATCCTGTAACGATGAATCACACGTCTGTGTTTCTTTAAATTCCTCAAACCTCTTATCACATCATCCTGCTTAAACATTTAGAAATTCATCAATCAAACATCAGGGTCTTACAGTCTGCAAGTCATTTCTCTGGACCCCTAGTGTTTGGTAGTTCTCAGTTATACCAGCGAAGGCCATAATTTAAAATGTAAAATACTTTACATACAAATACAAATTACCTGGGTTTTTATGAACGCTAAGAAAACAAAACAGCAGCTAGCAGATGTTTAGGTGTCTTGTGGTTTTGTTTTTTTTTACAATGTTTATATATACAATGATCCCTATCCTATTACGGTAGTTGCGTTCCTAGACCCACCGCGAAATGTGAAAAATCCATGAAGCAGAGGCGAGAAAGTTATTATATTATTTACATATATACTTACCCTTTACGAACCTCCCCCCACTGTTAACAACCCTCCCTGGACTGTATTACCCTTTCCCACACAATTATATCCTCAGTAGAGTTGTAGAATGTCGACGGGACAAGGGAACGAGAGAGTGGCCGACAGAGAAGGGGAGACACTGAGAGATGCTACGATTCATGAGCCAATCAGCGTGAGGAACAGAAGAGCTTGCCCAATTAGTCAATAGTGCATTGAGTACGCATTGTATTAGCCAATAGTATGCTGTAAACAAAGCTACCAGTGATCGTTTGCAAATGCGCTTATCTCAATTTCAAAACGAGAATCCACATTTCTAAAGCTAAAACTCTATGTATAATTATTTTATAATGTTTTTTAGTTTATTTTTTGCTATAATTCGCGAGATAGGATTTAAAAAAATCTGCGATGTGAGGGTAGGAAAAGAGAACTGCGATATAGAGAGGGAACACTGTATACACCAGTTGTATATAAAACCATGTCCGATACCGATACTGCAGTTTGGAGTATCTGCTAAAACTGATAACAATCAGATACCTTTTAGATGTCAGATCAAACAGGCTAGTTTTTTTTTCAACGTTTGATCCTGATAGGATCAATACATTCATGATAGGGGCAGTGGTGGCTTAGTGGTTAAGGAAGTGGACTTGGTTTCGGAAGGTTGCAGGTTAGAATTCACCAGCTGCCCAGTTACCACTGAGGTGCTCTGAGCACGGCACCGTCCCTACACACTGCTCCCCGGGCACTTAAAGCTGCCCACTGTTCACTTTGGTGATGGGTTAAAAGCACAGGCTCAATTTTCGTTGTTTCCCTGTGTTACAATGACAATAAAGTCTATAGTTTTTAAAAAAATATTTTGACTAATATCAGACTGATACCAATCCTAAGTACTGGGTTGACCCATCCCTAATACAAACATCAAGTGTATATTGATATGATATTGACACTGGTACGTTTAAAGTATATTGATCTGTATGTTTGTGTATATATATATAACAATGCAAACATATAGATCAGTATATTAGAAACATATCAATGTCTCTGTCATTGGTGAGGAACCCCAGGGTTCACCTCCTGGGCAAGATCAAATCCCAGTTAGTGCAGTTTGTACCTTCCAGTGGACTCACCAACCACAGGAAGGTTTAGGGGGGTTGGTACGGTGCAGTGTGATTTGGATGGCGGTCATGGAGACTGCTGCCCCCGTGACCCGGATAAGCGGATGAAAATGGATGGATGGATGGAT